AACCACCAGAAAACCAGAAGTGGTGCTGTGGCTCAAGTGGTAGAGTGCTTGCCTTGAGCTGTAGAGCTGAGGGACAGTGACCAGGCTCAGAGTTCAAGCCCCACAACCGACCAAAAAAAAAAAAAAAAGACCTCCTGAGCATAATACTATGTAAGAGCACTCAGAGACCCCCCCCAAGGGGACCATACTATGGACCCAGCCTGCAGGTGAGGGGCAGGTGAGTGGAGAAGGCAGACAGAAAACAAGCAAATGGCAAACACTGCGGTGTTAAAAGCTGGCAGGAAGGCTTTGGGAAGGGAGGCTGCCATTTTCAACATGGTGATTATAGAAGCCCAAAAGTGACCCCCGGAGACCGTTGGAGGGGAGAGGAGCAGCAGGGTGGTTTGATGGAGAAGCAGTGTTCCAGAAGGTACAGTGAGTGCAGTGCCCGGAGCCAGGAGCCAGGAGCTCATCTGGCATGTCTGAGAGAGAGCAAGGAGCCTGTGTAGCTGGAGGCGAGTAAACGAGGAGAGGGGGTGGGGGGAGGGAGGGAGCAGAGAAGAAGCATGATGAGAAGAACGGCAACACTCAAAGCAATGATGCGATGCGATGCCATCAGCCTCCAGGACCACCTGGCCACACTGCCCTGTCCCTCCCCTCCAACTCCTTTTACCCTGGCTCCTTCCTACCTGGCCGGGCTGTCCCTCCCCTCTGCCAGGTACTCTGGACAGCCCCACCCTCTTGCCTTTTTTTATTTTTTTGCTGGTCACAGGGCTTAAATTCAGGGCCTGGACTTAGTCCCTTAGCTCGTTCACTCAAGACTGGTGTTCTACCACTTTAGCCACAGCTCTACTTTTGGCTTTTGGGGTAAAATTAATTGGAGACAAGTCTCATGGACTTCCCTGCCCAGGCTGGCTTTGAACTGTGATCCTCAGATCTCAGCCTCCTGCGTAGCTAAGATGACAGGTAGGAGTTTCTGATGCACAGCTCCCCAGCCTATTTTGATGGCATAATGGTTAAGTGTAAAGGCTTTGGAACCAGATGGAAGGCCCTCTGTTGCTTACTACAGTATGGCCTTGGCAAGTTACTTTGCCAGTCTGGCCTCAGTGTCTCCCTCTGAAAAGTGGGGTGATAAGAATGTCACTCACCTTAGAGGTTTGCAATGAAGATTAGATTGGTTTCTATGTCTAAAGGCACTGAGACCAGGCTGTGTGGACAATGAAAGCTCCCTTCCTTCCCTGTCTCCCAGTTTTGTATGTGTTACTGAGCCAGGGTCTTGCTGTATTAACTTAGTCACACCAGGATAGAGCTGAGCACTCTACACATGTCTTACAGTGGCCTCATGAGCAAAGACTATAATTAGCTCTGTTTTCATCAATTTAAAAAATCTGACTCAGTAAGGACCAGTCATTTGCCAAAGGTCACATCATGCAACTGACCTTACTGGGATTAAAAAACAAGTTTTTCCTGATCCAGAAGCCCATGGAGCAGATCCTTTCGAGTGTTTACTGTGTGCCAGGAACTGAGTACACACATCTCAGTGACTTCTCACAAAGAACCTGAGGGGGAAGAGAGGGAAGAGAAAAAAAGCAAAAAATGAGCAAAACAGGAAAACAACTCAAAACTTAAAAATAGATGAGCTAGGCACTGGTACCTCAGGCCTGTCATCCTAGTTACTCAGGAGGCTGAGATCTGAGAATCGGGTTCAAAGCCAGCCCAGGCAGGAAAGACTATGAGACTCTTATCTCGAACAAAATACATAGAAAAAGCCAGAAATGGTGCTGTGACACAAGTAGAAGAGTGCTAGCTTGAGCAAAGGAAGCTCAGGGACAGTACCCAGGCCTTGAGTCCAAGCCCCATGTATATAAAAGTGGGTGATAGGCCCAACATAATAAAGCAAGTAACAACAGGGGCAGGAATTGAACACAAGTCAATCCAATGGCTATGATTAAAGCTGATGAAGAGACTTTTGTTGTTGTTGTTGTCAGTTGTGGGGCTTGAACTCAGGGCCTGAGCACTGTCCCTGAGCCTCTTTGAGCTCAAGGCTAATACACTTGAGCCATAATGACACTTCTGATTTTTGAGTGGTTAATTGGAGATAAGAGTCTTGGGCTGGGAAGGTGGCTCAGTGATAAGAGTGCTTGCCTTGCATGCCTGAGGCCCTGGGTTCCATTCCTCAGCACCATATAAGAAAAAAGCCAGGGGCTGGGAAGGTGGCTCAGTGCTAGAGCACTTGCCTTGCATGCATGAGGCCCTGGGTTCAATTCCTCAGCACCACATAAGCAAAAAGAAAAAAGCCAGAAGTGGCACTGTGGCTCAAGTGGTAGA